GTAAAGTCTAGCTTTTTTATTGTCTCTTGAATGGGGTACAAATGTGATTTATCTCTATGCATCCATGATGACTGATTGCCTGGTTTCCAGACATTCCCTAGCATTTTTGCCTTTCCCCAGCTTGGTCTAGGATGCTTATACTTTTCCCAGTTGAGATTGTGGGTTGAGTCTGTCTATATGTTGCAAGATTAAGAAATTTTCATTGTGCCTTCTGACTGCTAGTTGGCATTCATGAATGCTCTCCGCTGATCTTCTACCCGTCTGTCTTACATACTGGCTTTATAGTCCTTACATATATTCTGGATATTTTTTTCTTGTTCGGCTATTGGGGTTTTGTTCTTGTTGTTTACTTAAGATGTTTTTCAGGGTGTTACTTGGTTCATGTACTATGGTGATGCTATGTAATTTTTTTCTGAGATGGTTTTATATATATGGGAATATTATCCTTTTCATAGCTTGCATTGGTTGTGTTGTAGTGAGTTCAATGTGTTATCTAGGTTGACTGCATTAATGATGATGTCACCTAGCCTGGTAATGAAATGTTTGCAAGCAAACAGCCAAGCACAAACAGCACCAAAGCCTCCCTACTAATGATTATATAATATTTCCTTTGATTTTTCAGCAAGAATGTTGAGAGATGAAAAAGTTAATTACTGTAAGTCGCTGAAGAACGGAAGACATTAAACCTGAAACAATATAGCCTTTTTTGTATATATTTATTCCATTCTTGTATTGATAACTTATTATAAGTTATATAACTTATAATAAGTTATAAGTTTTGTTAAAATTGTAGGATCAATAACTGAATATATATAATATCCATGTTTATTTATGCTAAGGAAAATCAACTAGCAGCCCATATGTTTTCTGGGTTTATTTTGAACAATCATTGTCCATTTTAGAGATAGGAACAAGTAGTGCAAAAAAATTCAGAGGCTTTAAGTTTATATAGGACTACATGTAATCATCTGAAGTAAAGAAAATGGTGGAGAAATGATGCTATCATAAAGGATTTTGGAATATGCTTGTTATCACAATTGGCAGATAATGACTTCATAACCATGGTAGCATTCATTTGCAATTCTCCTCTCAGAATACCCTGTCTCGGCTGCAGATTGTGATCATGCAAATAGTCTAGCACTTGAAAACAATGTCCCAGTTACATCAACTGACTCAATTACAGCCACCTCATAAAACTGCAGCAGTTCAAACTACATTAGCAAAATGTTTTCTGTATTCTGAGGTAACCAGTTGTGTAGTGGATAGTGTCAAGTAATCCTCTGGATACTAGAATAAGATGTACAGTGACAGCATGAAGGAGCTTGTACTAAATTTTATTTTATTTATTAATCAATTTTCTAAAGCTGCCTTCTAACAAAAAGTGGTTCTGAGCAACTCTAGAATGTACAGCATTCTAGAGAAAATCTAAATCAATCTGTTAATTTTATGTAATTATGTAGATGGCAATCGAAAACAAAATAGCAACCATCATAAATTGAGTTAGGTCATCCAGCAATTTGGCTTTCTATTGATTACTGATAGACAAATCTGGCCCTAGGTTCTGCCTCGATTTACCTCCCAAATAAGCAACGTAGTCGGAAGATAATTTAAAAACAGTGAAAAAGTGGGATCTCCCTATGAAAAGGAGACCCCTGAGATCCATCTTACATTCCTTTTTATAGTTAACACAACAAAGAAAAATGAAAGAGGAAAGTTGGTTGATCAAGATAAGAGTAAACCCTTCTTGCACAGTAAATCAACTACAAAGCTTGTTTGAAATTAGATAACCAGATGCCTGTTGACACTAAGAAACTTTTCTTTATCAGCAGATAATCTCCAGACATCCTTCCGCAAATTATCTTTTCAGTTTAGGAATGTTAAAAGCTATCTAATCAATCCATACAATCATAGGATAAAAGTTTTCCTACATTCTGTAATGAGCCTGAATATCATTTTTATCATAGCCGCCCTGAGTCTTCGGAGAGGGGCGCCATATAAATTTAATTAATTAAATTAAATTAAATTAAATTTTAAAAGACAAAAATAAGTCAAATTAAAATACAAAGTAACTATGTTAAGTTAACAAGTTACAAAATCCATATTCTGCCCTCGCTATACTGTCAGTGGCTTTCCAATGCTTCAGTTTCTGAAACTGGATTTTCATTAGCCTTCTTTTAAAATGTTAGATATTTTGTCTTTATAGGAATAGTATGATTAGAGTGCTTTCAAGTATTATTTCTGCTATATGTTCTCTGGTGAGATACAAGTGGAAAAAGCATAACTAGCTGGATATGGAAGGTGATCAATGCCTCTTTGAAGGAGAGGGTGTTGCCTGTGGTCTTGGAAGAGACTTGACTTCAAAAGAGGCTGTTTTGAACCTTGCAGTTCTTGACAACTATTGTTTGATCTCAAACCTTTCCTTTTGGGGAAAGTTGTTGAGAAGTTGGTGGGGAGTTAGCAACCTAGAGGAATTGGATTATCTGGACCTTTTATGGTCAGTATTTAATCCTGAGCATTATAATAATACAAACTACTCTGTCTGATAACTAGTACCATTTTTGTAGGGGCCTGCATTGGAGTAGTGTACCCCTATAAGATTTCTTGGTGACTTTTGAGAGTATCAGCCATGATATCCTTTTGGATTTGAGAGTTGGAAATTGGAGGCATTGTTCTTTAGTGGTTCTGTTCTTGTCTCAGTATCCATTGCAGTCGGTAGAAATGAGGGAGAAAAAGTCTGCTTAGTGGTCGTGTGTCCTCTCCACCCTGCTTGTTAACATTTACATGAAGCTTCCAGGTCATGAATGCAACTATTCATTTAATGATTTAATGACCATTTAATGACCAGTCAAAGTTACAAAGACATTGGAGAAAAAAAAGACTTTTTCATACTTACAACCATTCCAGCATCCCCATGGTCACATGATTAAAATTCAGCCACTTGGCAGCTGGCTCATATTTTTGACGGTTGCAGTGCCCTGTGGTCATATGATCCCTTTTTGCAACCTTCTGACAAAGTCAACAGGGGAGCCATATTCACTTAACATGTTACTGAATTAACAAGTGTTAGTAGTAGTAGTAAGCTTTATTGCGGTCAGAGACCAAATTAAAATAGACAAAGAAAGGGAGCATATTTTACAAATATGGATAGATCATGGGACAGTACACCATCTATTGCCTCAAATACAATCTGTACTGTCAGTGCTGGTGATCCTCTGCCGTCGGGCTTACCCGTCTCTTTTCCTGTTTTTTTCCAGCCACAACTGTAGCAAAATTTTTTGCCACCTTTAGAGTTATATTGGGGTCTGCGTCCTGGAGTAGGAAATAAAGGCTGAACATATCAGGTGAACCAGGGCATCTCTGGGAAATAGGACAAATGAGTCTTGATCTTATAGCCCGAATTAACAAGTGTTAACAGCACTTAACAACTGTGGCAAGAAAAGTCGTAAAATGGGGCAAAACTCACTTAACAAATATTTCACTTAGCAAGAGAAAGGTTGGGCTCAATTGTGGTCATAAGCTGAGGACTAGTTGTAATGCCATTCCAGCCCATCTAGGAATGTTGAAGTCACATTCGATTCTCTGAATATGTTGGGATCTACATGGGATGAAAGAAACTGAAGTTGAAGTTGGACTTTCTGTTTGTTTCTAGAATTTCTCTATCAGAACCAAATAAATCTCTCAAAAGGAAGGCACTACCTTTAAGGGTCCAGATCCATGATTTGGGAGTTTTCTTGAACTCATGGCTACTGCTGAATGGGCAGATGGAAACTGTGGCCAGAAGGGATTTCAGTTGTGCATTTGTTGCATGGAATGCTAGTGCCACATCTTATGAGCTATTGCTCATTTGTATAAGACAAGGGATTGCCCTTGAAAACTGCCTAGAAGCAGAATGCAACATATATTTGGGGGGGGGGAGGGCTTTCGTCACTAAGAGCACATTAAACCTGTGTTCTAAGCCCTGGACTGGTTACCAAAATCCTTTTAGGGCTTGATGCTTAGATGGCCACCTTCTCCAATAGGAATCTCAACTCTCCAATAAGAGAATCCTAGGTGGGTCTCTTTTTGGATCCCCACTTTTGTGAGATGAAGGGAGCAGAAGACACACAGGTGCTGCTTCTTAGTTTTGTTGTCTATTTTGTGGAACAATCTTCCACTCAAAGATTGGTTAGATCCACACATTTGCTACCTTCCAGAAACAGGCTAAGACAACATTTTTCCAGAAGATATTTGGGATCAGAATAACAGAGTTGCAAGGGACCTTGTCGGTCATCTAGTCCACCCCCTTGCCCAAGCAGGAGACCCTACACCATTTCTGACAGATGGCAGTCCAGCCTCTTCTTGAAAGCCTTCAGTGGTGAAGCTCCCACAACTTCTGAAGGCAAGCTGTTCCACTGATTGATTGTTTTCACTGTCAGAAAACTTCTCCTTATTTCTAGGTTGAACCTCTCCTGATTCTGTCAATTATTGTTTTGTTTTTTTTGCTGGTATTATTTTATTCTATTTTATTTATATATTGATAATAAAGACTATCAGCATTTTAATTTGTATTGTTTTTCTGGTATTTTTTAAGTGTCCTGTGTGAATCTATTCTGAATATTGCTATATACAAATCTGATAAATAACAGTGTACATGCAGCATTGGCCTCCATTAGAGAAGCAGCTTTATTTCTTGCATCCCTGACACACAGGAAAAACAAACAATTCAAAAGCATTTAATTATTGATTTATCATATTATTTCCTCTTTCCAATAGCACAGAAATATTTTCCCGCAAAATAACATCTATTCCAAAAAGAACCACTAATGAAAACAAATGGATGTTGTTAAGGGATTGTTACATCCTTGCACAGAAATCATTAGAGTTCCAAATAATGGCCATAACTTCATTTTTTAAAAAATAATAATGCTAATTTGCATAGGTTGAAGAGTTATTCCAATATATTTACAAACTTCAGATTATGTAAGTTTAAATCAATACTGACTTTTTTTCTGTATTACTAGGACTATCAACATTACAAGCTGTACTAGACACTGCAGCTGAAAAGAAATGGCAAGTGACTGCTATAAATGTGGGGAATATTAACAATGATAGAAAAGATGAAACGTATCGCTCATTATTTCAAGATTTGGAGATAAAAAAGGAAAGACGAGTAATTCTTGACTGTGAACGGGATAAAGTCAATGACATTGTAGATCAGGTTTGCTACTATTTCTTTTTCAATATCTATGTAAGTAACTGTGAAATTATTGCCAGTAATCACCATTATGTGCTTATTTAGTAGCATTGGCAAACAAATTATGATTATGATATAATTTCTCTATTTATGTGGGAACCAGTATATATTAACTGTGCTGTTGCATTGCAAGACCAGTCCTACTATTAGAGTGATGATATAATATTAAATAAAGTAAATGGCAGCAAACTGTTATATAATTTATTACATTTTAATTAATACCTTGGAGAGAGAAAACACTTCTAGGATTTTCTCTCTAGAGATCAGATTAATTCGTCTGGCTTTGGACATATGCCTTGATTAGTAAACTATTATTTGGAATGTCAATGTTACAGGTAATCCTTGTTTAGCAACTATCTTAGATAGTTGCTAAACTATCTGCAAATACTATAGTAATAAACTGTAGTCCATGGTAGTAAACAAATCATTTTCTAATCAGTGAGCACTCTTACATCCATATTTCTGCACCTGAGAACAACGCATGCTGGAGTGAGCATAATAATGGTGTTGCTGCATGAGAGAATTTTATCTGAATGAGGGAGCAGTAACCAGTGGTCCTTACAGCATATATCTCTCCGTCCTTCCCTCCCTCCCTCCCTCCCTCCCTCTTTCTCTCAGTTTACTTAGTGATTTGGACATTTAGCAATAATTTCACTGGAACTAATTGCGGTTGCTAAACAAGAACTATTTGTATTTGCTATGAGACAATAGGTTATTTCTGTTGCATGAAATAGAAATGTAACTATTAAAACAACTCCAGATACACCATATGAAAATGTTGCATTAATGAACTTGCATCTGGCATGTACCTAATACAGTAAAATGGATGGCATTTTGTTTGCACATTTATTTATTCAAATTTATCAGCTGCCCAAGTCTAATGGACTCTGGATAGCAATAGACAATACCAAGTGAAATGCCAATGTTCTATAGATTCCTAGCTACACCTATAACTTTAGCTCCATTGTGTTTTTAGTTGCCCATTAAATAAATATGTTCAGACATATATAGAATATAGAAATGATTGTCCAATGTCTTGTATTTGAATACCATTATATATGCTAGGCCAGCAATCAGAAGTTGAAGAGTTACTTGGTCACCTAATAGACAGTTGTGCCATCCTCCATAGTTCTATGTAGTAATCTCAGCTAGTCATGGGGTTTAAAGGTTATCTCACCATTCAACACAGGGGAAGGGGCAGATTTTATTTTATTTTATTTACTCACATTTATTATAGTTGTCCAACTCTAGTGGATGGTATGCAAAAAAACCTTCTGTAAAAACAATTAAAACATTAAACCACATAATAGCATCGACTAAAACAATCTTAAAGGCATTACATACACAGGCAATTGGGTGATCCACTTGCGGTCTAAAATTCTGTTGCTGGTCAAAAATATAGAATAGAATAGAATAGAATAGAATAGAATAGAGTAGAGTAGAGTAGAGTAGAGTAGAGTAGAATAGAATAGAATAGAATAGAATAGAATAGAATAGAATAGAATAGAATAGAATAGAATAGAATAGAATTCTTTATTGGTGAAGTGTGATTGGACGCACAAGGAATTTGTCTTGATGCATACGCTTTCGGTGTACATAAAAAGACAAGATATATTTGTCAAGAATATTGCTGTCTTCTTGCTCAGTGGGAGGAGAATGGAACATGCTAGTTTATTGTTGGCCAGCTTTGAGCGTGAAAATGAATATAAAAATGAAGTATTTTAGAGTTTCTGGACTGAAAGCCATTTTCATAACAATTAAAAATAAAATCCATATTTTAATCTACAATGAATTCATCCACATAAAGCAAGGTGTATTGTCAGTTATTTTTTTGAACATAATCATGCAGTTATTGTCATTTATGAAATATGTTTTATTGTATCTGTACCTTTTATTTGGTTCACTTCTAGGTTATTACAATTGGTAAACATGTAAAAGGATATCACTACATCATTGCAAATTTGGTAAGTTAATTTAATATTTGCCTGAACATGTAATATTTCCAACGTTAAAGTATATTTTATGCATGGTTGTGTATACAATATTTAATTAAAGGTCTGTAGTTCTCTGAAAAAACTCAGAGAATATTGGAAGTATTTATTCTTGGTTCTTGCGTTATCGTCTAAAATCATCAGCTTTTTTTGCTCTAATTACCTTTGATTATATAACTATGCTTAGCTGCCATTCTCTGTAGCCCCACATTGTTAGTAACCTCCGTATGATTACCATATATGAGAAAGCGGGAAGAAATCAATTTTTTGTTGGCCTCAAATATGACATATACACATTAAGTGTTGTCTGCAAAGTGGTGTGTGTGTGTGTGTATTTAGCCGTTCTATGAATTGTTGTTAATATTCCCAACTGTAGGATAAAATGTGTTGATAATATGAATACTCTGTGAATAATTGTAGAAAACATTATTTCAAATTAAATAAAATTTCTATGTAAAATTTTAAATTATGGTATACATGAAAGAAAATAGCATTGAAACAGTTTTAAGAAATTTGATCAATAGAGTCATTATTTTCCTTTTTCTGTTTTGTCTTCTGATAAAAACAATAGAGCAAAACCATTTATTTAAATAGTAAGCATGCTTTATTAACCATGATTAATTCAAATTATGGCTAATAAGCCAAGGCAACAAATGGCACCATATTTTTGATACAGATAGTTGTTGACTTATGATAAAATAAGAACTTTGTCAATTCATTATTAAGTGGTGTGATTGCTAAATGAAGCATCACATGACTGCTCCTTATTTTATTACCTTTTTGCTGCAAGTGAATCATCATGGTTGTTAAGTGAGACATCAAGTGACTACAACTTGCAGCCTTCCTGCTCCCCTCCCCATTGACTTTGCTTGTTGGAAGTCAGATGGGAAGGTTATAAATGGTGGCCAGAAGACGTTGTAACTGTCATATATGTAGAGTGGTCACCAAGCATCCAAATCTCTTTTAACAGACTTTAAGAAGTCCATTCCTAACCATAGTGACTGTCAAAATTACACCATGTACATTGTAATGTCTTCTTCTCTAATTCCTTTTTTACTCCTTCAAATGTCGAGTTGCTTTTCTGGCAGCCTCAACCATTGTTAATTGATGTTGTTGTAGTATGTCTTTGATGTTGTCTCTCCATCTTCCTCTGGTTTGGATTGCGCTCTTTGACCTTCTCCTCTTTTTGTATGTGCTTGTATGGTATGAAATCCCACAAATACCTCTTCAGATAGGTAAACTACTTTATTTGCTGTTTGCATGTAATTTAATATTGGTTCTATACCAATTCTTTCTCTTATGGTCTCATTTCTGATTTTATTTCTTCTGGTCACTCCAGCTGCTTTCTTCAAACATCTCATTTCCATGGTGACTAACTTTTGTTTATGTTTTATTGTAAGTGTCCATGTTTGGCACTGGTAACATAGGGTGGAGATGAGTTTGCTTTGTATAGATGCTTCTTTGTGTTGATCAGTACTGCCTTTATGTTGTAGGAGTGGAGCAAGCTGCCCTAATACTTGGTTTGCCTTACTGCATCATATGTTAATATCTTCATCCCTTTTACCATCTTTGGTGAATGATGTTTCTAGATATTTGAACTTTGTTACTTGTTTAATGCATGTTCCTTCTATCACTCTATTTAGGGTATGCTTTTTTTCTTCCAATTGCCATTACTTTTTTTTTTTCTGATTTTCATATTATTTGTCGGGCATTCTTGGTTCATGACTATAAGATGTTATTGCGGTTTCTTAGCTGTACTTACCTGATCATCTGCAAATATTGTGGATATTATTTCCATTCTTGCATTTGGCTTCTTCGCTTATGCTGTCAATGTAGGTAATAAATAATAGTGATGATAGTACACATCCCTGTTTTACTCCAGATGTTCCGATGTTCCTTGGTTTGTTCTGACTACACTTCTGCAATCACTAATAAGCTTTTGCATACTCTAATAAGATGTTCACGTATTCTGTATGGGATTAATGTTTCTTATAACAATTTCCTATCAACTATATCAAATGATTTCTCTCAATCTACAAATATGACAAAGAGATTCTTACTGCATTCCATATTTTTTTCTAATATTTGCTTAAGCACAAAAATTGCATCTGTGCAGTTTCTATTTCTTCTAAACCCCACCTGCTCTTCTGCTAGTTGTGGTTCTATAACTGGTCTTAATCTCATTTCTATTATTTTGGCATACATTTTCTCTACATGACTCAAGAGTAAGATGCCTCGATACTGTGTGCATTCTCATTTCCTTCCTTTGTTTGCTTGTTGACAATTGATAGGTGCAATTAGTTGTGTCCATGCTGTGTTAAAGCTTCTATGTAGCATCATGATGTGACAATGCAAATTCCTTTCATGCCTGCATTGTGACATCACATTTAAGTGACCTGACCATCGGACCAACCGCCGTGAGAGGGAGGTTTTTGGACCTGAGCCCCGGATGCTGTGCTGTCTGCATTGGTTCATCGCTGCCATCTCACCACAAGAGGGGGTCGACTGGTTGATCGGACCACCGTGAGAGGGTGGTTGGGTCTATCCCCCCCCTTGGACTGTGGTCGACTTGGAACCTGACTTCGTCCTCTGTTGTGAGGGGACAGTGGACCTGGTCTTGTTGAAAATGCTCTTGAGACTCCCACTCCATGTCTCTCCCCTGGACCTTCTATATGGACCCCTAGGATATGGTTGCTCCCATCCTCTGTGGTCAAGATGTATTCCGCAGCGGAGCTTCTTGGTCTGCGAGACTCCCCCCTCTCGCAGGCTTGACCCTCCACTCTATCGAGGGCCTACCTCGATGACGGGCTTTGGAACCCCGAGAGGTGGCATGCCGCAAAGAGGGGGTTGTGGGGTTTTTTAAAATTGTCTTTTTGTAATCTTTTAAGGGGCTTAGGGCAGGGGGTGGGGAGGGAGGGGCATAGGTCAGGCTTGTTACAGGGGCATGGAACGGAAGGCGGGGAGCGGGGTGTGGAGGAGCTCAGTGTGGATAGGGTGGAGGGCAATTCTATCAGTACCGTGGTTGGGAGGGGCAGATATGGCGGGAGTAGGGGGCCACATCAGGTGGTGGGGGCATGCACCCGCTATCTCCAAGCGGTGGCATGCCTCGGCCCCCATGACTCTTCTCGTCTCCCCGGCTGTCCAGAGTCTCAGAGCCCAGGCCTTAGACTGATGCTGTGCAACGCCAGGTCCGTGGTTAATAAGGCCCCCCTCATTTGTGAGCTAATACAGGAGGGGGTGCGGACCTGGCAGGTATTACAGAGACCTGGCTGGGCCAAGAGGGGGGGTCCCCCTCGTAGAGATGTGCCCACCAGGTTTCCGCGCATTCCATCAGCCAAGGGCCCAGGGCAGGGGTGGGGGAGTGGCAGTCGTTATAAAGGAAGGTCTTGATCCGAGGGAGGCCACTGTACTTCAGATAGCCGGATGTGAGTCTCTCCTGGTGAAGTGGGGCCATGGGATGCAGGTGGGCCTGCTGATCGCATACCTGGCTCCCTGCCACGTGACAGCAGCCCTGCCCGAGCTTCTCAACGTTATTGCCGGGGTGGCGGTTGACACCCCCAGACTTTTGATCATGGGGGATTTCAACCTGCCGTCTACCAGTGAGGCGTCTGGGATGGCTCAGGAGTTTATGGCTTCCATGACAGCCATGGACCTGACACAATTAATTCATGGCCCCACTCACATGGGAGGACACATTCTGGACTTGGTTTTTATCTCTGGTCAGTGGCTGAGTGGTCTGGATATAGGGGATATAGTTACTGAACCCCTGTCATGGTCGGACCATTCTCTCCTGAGACTGGACCTTTTGACCGCTGCACCCCACTGCAGGGAGGCGGAACTGACCAGGTGGTTCCGCCCCAGGCGCCTGATGGATCCTGATAGGTTCCAGAGGGAGCTTGGGCCAGTTCCTGAAACTCTGGCTCATGACTAGGCTGAAGATCTGGTGGCTGCCTGGGATAGGACGGCCGCCGGTGCTCTGGACCGAGTCGTGCCTTTGCGGCCTCTGACCCGACGCCGAACCTGCCCGGCCCCTTGGTTTTCCGAGGAGCTGAGGGAGATGAAGCGCCGGAAAAGACGCCTAGAGAGTGGTTGGAGGGCTAGTCGCTCCGAATCCGACCGAACACTAGTTAGGTCTCATATTAAGACCTATCTAGTGACGATAAAAGCGGCAAAGCGTAACCACTTTTCCGCTCTTATTGCATCGGCAGATAACCGCCCAGCCGCCTTGTTTAGGGTGACTCGCTCCCTCCTACATCAGGGAGCGCAGAAAGACCCCTTGCAAGGGCAGGCTGAGGATTTTGCACAGTATCTGCACGATAAAATCGCTCAGATTCAGGAAGGCTTGGACTCTGACTGGGTAGATCCTGGCGGGGTGACTGAGGCTGGTCTTGAGAATGTTACCTGGGATGAGTTCGACCCTGTGACTCCTGAGGACGTGGACAGGATCCTGGGGAGGTTAAACGCAACCACATGTTTATTGGACCCGTGCCCCTCCTGGCTGGTACTGGCCACCCGGGAGGTAACACGAGGCTGGCTCCAGAGGATTATAAATGCTTCTCTGAGAGAGGGTTTCTTGCCTCCCGCCTTGAAAGAGGCGGTGGTGAGGCCCCTCCTCAAGAAGCCTTCTCTGGACCCGGCCTTTTGGCAAACTACCATCCGGTCTCCAACCTTCGCTTTGTTGCGAAGGTTGTGGAGAGTGTGGTTGCGCGACAGCTCCCACAGTTCCTGGATGAAACCGTCTATCTAGATCCGTGCCAGTCCAGCTTCAGGCCTGGGTACAGCACGGAGATGGCATTGGTCGCATTGGTGGATGATCTCTGGAGGGCCCGGGACAGGGGTTGTTTCTCTGTTCTGGTCCTATTAGACCTCTCAGCGGCTTTTGATACCATCGACCATGGTATCATGCTGCGCCGGCTGGAGGGATAGGGGGTGGGAGGCACCGTGCTGCGGTGGTTCTCCTCCTATCTCTCTGACCGGTCGCAGTCTGTGTTGGCAGGGGGGCAGAGGTCGACCTCGAGGTACCTTGCTTGCGGGGTGCCGCAAGGGTCGGTCCTCTCGCCGCTCCTGTTCAACATTTATGTGAAGCCGCTGGGTGAGATCATCCGTGGTTTTGGGGTGCAATGCCATCTGTATGCTGATGACACTCAGCTGTACATTTCCACCCCAGACCACCCCAATGATGCCCTCGAAGTGATGTCCCAGTGTCTGGAGGCCGTGCGGGTCTGGATGGGGAGGAACAGGCTTCGGCTCAACCCTTCCAAGACCGAGTGGCTGTGGATGCCGGCGTCCCGGTATAGCCAGCTGGTGCCATCGTTGGCTATTGGGGGCGAGTCACTGACCCCCACAGAGGGGGCTCGCAACTTGGGCGTTCTCCTGGACACATGGCTGTCTTTAGAAGAGCATATGACGGCCGTGGCCAGGGGGGCTTTTTATCAGGTTCGCCTGATATGCCAGTTGCACCCCTTTCTGGATCAGGACTCCTTGTGCACAGTCACTCATGCCTTGGTTACGTCAAGCCTGGACTACTGTAACGCTCTCTACATGGGGCTCCCACTGAGGAGCACCTGGAGGCTCCAGCTGGTGCAGAATGCGGCCGCGCGGGTGATTATGGGAACGACGTGGCGCTCCCACGTAACACCTCTCCTGCGCAAGCTGCATTGGCTCCCGGTGGTCTTCCGGGTGCGCTTTAAGGTGTTGGTTCTCATCTTTAAAGCGCTCCATGGCTTAGGGCCATGGTATTTGCGAGACCGCCTGCTGCTACCGATAACCTCCCACCGGCCAATACGCTCTCACAGAGAGGGCCTCCTCGGGGTGCCGTCGGTCAGGCAATGTCAGCTGGGGGCCCCCAGGGGGCGACCCTTCTCTGTGGGGGCAGCCGCCCTGTGGAATGAGCTGCCTCCTGGAATACGATTGATCCCGGACCTCCGGACCTTCCGTAAAGCCCTGAAGACGTTTTTATTTCATCAAGCCGGCCTAGCCTAAATGGTTTTTAATTGGGATTTTAAATTTTATGGATTTGGGGGTTTAAATTGGGTAGCCAGTGATTTAATTCTTTTAATTATCTTAACTTTTGCATTTGTATGTTTTTTTTAATTTTGGCTGTTCACCGCCCTGAGTCCCTTCTGGGAGAAGGGCGGTATACAAATTAAATTAATAAATAAATAATAAATAAGTACATGAGTTTGCATCACAATGCTCTCTTGTCATTTGTCCTCTCTTTGTTCTCCTCCTGTAAAGACTTACTTTTGAAGCTGTCCAAACTAACACACATAATATAATGACACTGTAAAGTATATAAGCTGAGAAAAGTATTTAAAAACATGAGAGTACTCTCATCTACAAGGAAGAAGTAAAATTAATTCATATACAATACACCGATATACAAATATGTGTGTGTGTGTGAGAGTGAGTGTGTGTACACAAAGCCTATGGAAAAGCTAGGGTTTAAATTCCAGGATCTGAAATTTTAGAGTACAGGTGGTTGTCAATATAAGACCATTTTTTTATGATTATTCAAAATTACAATGGTGACTTATGACTGTTGCAGTGCCCCCAAGGTCACATGATTAAAGTTTGAATGCTTGGCAACCAGCACATATTTATATTGGTTGCTGTGTCCTAGGGTTACATAACCTCCATTTGTGACCTTCTGACAAGCTTCTGTCAAGCAAAGTCAATGGGGGAAGCTGGATTCTCTTAATGACCACAGCAAAAAAGGCCACAAAATCAGATGTGACTCATTTAATGGCAACATTGCTCAGCAATGGGATTTACGATCCCAATTGTGATCATAAATTGAGCATCCCCTGTATTCGGTCTACATCACTTGAAAGTTCTACATCAAAATACAGGCTTAAAAAAGTCTTTCTAGCTGATAGATTGTAGAAGCTCCGATGAAAGTGCATGACAGAAGTTTCTTTATAATTCATATTTGTATTCTCTGTTTATTCAATTTAAATATCCAAGGCCTATGGATTCTGGACCACATACAAGTGCAAAATATCCATAAAAACAGATAAAATACTAAACCATTGTGCAACTGAAATGTATATTTTCCATACCCAGGGATTTACTGATGGAGATTTATCAAAAATACAATTTGGAGGAGCTAATGTGTCAGGATTTCAAATAGTGGACTATGATGATCCTTTGGTGTCAAAATTTATACAGCGCTGGTCAACCCTGGAAGAAAAAGAATATCCTGGAGCTCACACTAGCACGATTAAGGTAGATGATTTTTCTTTTATATCTGGAAAAGTGTTTACTGATGGTTATTTACTTACAAATCCAATCTTTCTAGCTTGGCAACCATTCGTGCAAGCCTAGGGCACTAGCACGCAAATCTCCATTCATGTCAATGGAGCTTCCTGTGCAAACGTAAGGGCCCGCAGCCTCCACTTGCGAGAGTGGAGTTTGATGCACAAGCGCAAGCGTCTTACGCTTGCACGAGTGGAGCTTCGCATGTGAGCTGAAGCGCTGTCTGTGCAAATGAAGCTTCATGCACATGCACTTGCCCGCCATTTGTGCGACTAGAGCTTCATGCACACGCACTGACTCATCTCTCCCATGGCCCATTTCTAAGGGGCCACAGACCGACAGTGGGCTGCAGCTTGGGTGTTGGGGACTGCTATCTTAGAACATCTAATAATATTATTTTGCATTGGTCTTAAATTATCTCCGAATGTGTGTAATATTAAGTTGGCATATTTGAAATATAAAAATAGTTTTCTACAACAAGTTTTGTTGTAAAAAATAAAGTTCTGCAAAATAAAAATAATAACATAGAAAACAATAATCACAGACAAATTATCTTTCCTGCTAATAGTGGAATAGGTTCATTAGTTTTTGAAATAAATGCATTTCTTCCCAAATAGGTGATTGATTCTAAATTTGCTAATTCATGCTTAGCTCTAGAAAGCTGGGAAAGAAAAAAAAGTTCTAAGAGAATTTACAGATTTGTAATTTAATTAAAGAATGGCAAAATGTGGTTAAAAGAATGAATAGAAAGCAAAATAAAAAAGTTGCTTTGATTTGTGGTATCACAATGATAAAATGGGTAGTCAGTTTTATCCAGATGTTGTTTTGGACTGTATATATGCTGTATGTATTCTGTATATTTTCATGGTAGTACTACTATAATTCATATCACTGCCAGTCTGCTATGTCACTTTGTTACTAGTTTAGAAACAGGTGGTGGTATTTTACTATATGGACATTTTTTTTAAAAAATGCATATGGCTCCAAGAAACTACAGCCTGAATATAATTCTCGTAATTTTTATTTTGGCATCAATGGGAGACTCTCTTACTTATAGAAGTTATTGTACAAGTCTAATTAAATAGACAGATATAATATAATAAGGCTTCAGAAGTCTGAAGTTATGTATCTTGTAAAAATTAAACTAAACATACATTTTATAACTGTTTCAAATAGTTGTGCCAGCTGTTATAGACTTAAAGACATGAAATATAGACTGTGACTTTCTTCAGGGCTATCGTTTCCTTATATTCCAGCCATAAGCGTTTTGGAAAATGAGAGATAAAGCAAAAAAAAAAAAAAAAAAAATGGCTGCCATCTCTTTTACAGTATTAATGAAAACAGATTTACAGATTGCTGCTCTGTTAGAAAAGCTTATAAGTCCTTAAAAGAGGGGTTTGCACCTTTTTCTGGAGACAGAAATTGGATGATCTAGGAGGAAAAATGCAGCTGTAGTTTTGGTTTAATCTTGTGTTAACTTTTTTATACATAATACTTCTGACTTTTTATAATTTTATAATAATTATAATTACTTTATAATTTTAGTGTTGTACTGTTTTTATTTTATTTTATTATTTTATGGTATGCTATCTGTTATGACAAATGGCTATAACAATAAACTTATTTACTTGACTTGATTGCTATCAAATGCTCTGCCAAGTATATGTTAATTCTTAGAGATGGGAGAAAGGAGCCACAAGTATATGTAGTCCTCAACAAATGAACAAAATTAGGACTGGTATCTCAGTTGTTGAGAATGATCGTTGAGTGAGATGATTACACGACCACTTTAGTCAATGACAACAATCTTGGCACTTCCAGTTGCAGTCTTTAAGCAATCACGTAGTTCGTTAACACTGAGGAGAAGGTCCACTTGTAGTCCCACCACATGTAGGAGGACTGGATACTCTCTCCACTATGCCCAGGAGACCTCAACCTTTCCCTACACTACCATGCCCAGGAGGCTTCAGCCCTTTCCTTATCCCACTAGGCCCAGTATCTTTGCCTTTTTCTGCAGTTGCAGATACACCAAGCTGATAAGAGGCATGTTCTTCCTACTGAGGCTACCTCACACCATCCTGCAAGCGGACCATTCTTGTTATCATTGGAAAGGTCCCTTTCCAAACTGCATGATTTGGAGAAGTGCCTTCCAAAGGCTGTAAGAACAAACTATCTTGTGAAGTATGTGAATTATACAGCATTGGTGGTTCTTATCCGGGACGACAATGAAGATGCTTATAGCTTATAAGGAAGAAGTGATGACTCTGGTGGACTGGTGCAATAAAAGTAACTTGGTTCTAAATGTTATTAAAACAAGAGTTCATTGTAGATTTTAGAAAGATATGGTATAGTCGTACTCTACTCAGTATCAAGGATGCAGCTGTAGAGGTGATCAACAGTATTAATATCTGGGGTAGAGATAACTAACAATCTGAATTGGTCTCTTCACACGTCATCCTTAGTGAAGTGTGCAAACCAGTATCTGCATTTCCTGCATCAGATCAGATCTTTCTCCTTCTGTCCTGGCCGCTTTTTACAGAGGCACAGTTGAGAGCATTTTAACAAATTGCATCATTGTTTGGTTTGGTGGTAGCAGTGCCTCAGATAGAAGGTCCATACAAAGAGAAAATTATAGGAAGCTCTGTTCCTTTCATTCAGGATACTGCTTATAAGCGCTATGTGCTTAGAGCTCAAAGCATTGCTACATTTCTCACACACCCACTTCACTGTCTGTTTCTGTTGCTCCCAAAGTATTTCTAGCAGAACTACCAGATTCTGTAACAGCTTTCTTCCCTATGCCATCCGTCTGGTAAACTCGCAGGATTTTCTCGCCATGTACATGTATACATCCGAAATAGAGTTTCTCTGTGTCATATAATATATGTGGGTATATGCTTATTTATTTATTTATTTATTTATTTATTTATTTATTTATTTATTTATTTGGCATGTTTATGTAGTGTATATTGGAGATGGTGACTCTTTGAGAGCTGTATGCAAAGAAATTTCATTTTAATGTATGCCAATTAGTATATATTTAAAGTGTCAATAAAGTTATTCTAAGTCTAAGTGGGCAAAAGAGAACACCTCAGCCAGAATGTATATACATTTCATGCAAGAAGAAGGAAGATTTGAGTTGTGATGACAGAAGGGCTGCCTGTACCTCCTGCACAGATCCCTTTCAGATAAAGAGGGGAAGAGCTGGCTTTATGGCAGGGAGTGGATGTGAAGATTAAGCGTACATTTGAGACCAGTGTATTCAAGAGGATCCTTTTTTTAAAATTTGATTTATATGCCGCCCTTCTCCGGAGACTCAGGGCGGCTTACAATGCGTTAAGCAATAGCCTTCATACTTTTGTATATTTATACAAAGTCAGCTTATTGCCCCCACAAACTGGGTCCTCATTTTACCTACCTTAGAAAGGATGGAAGGCTGAGTCAACCTTTGAGCCTGGTGAGATTCGAACTTACAGTAATTGCAGACAGCTGGTGTTAATCACAATGCTTTTAGTCTGCTGAGTCACCAGGACTCTTGTGCTTAAGATTCTCATGGAGTCCATTCCAGTTCACATGCAACCCAGTTTGGAAAAAAAAAAACATTCTCTAGATAATCAAGAACTGCTTTCTTCAACCATTGGTCTTTTTGAATGGAACATGTAGGCCCAACATAGCCTGAAGACTCCAGTTTGGGGATGGGTTCTCTAGATATGCTTATTTCTGTCAGGACCATATATCACAATAATAGTAACAGTCACTTAGATAAAGACCCATCAAATTCATGGTTATAGCAAGAAAAATAACTGGTCTTCAGCAATTTCTTTGAACCTTATTTATTGGACAGATTTTAAAAAGCAATATCTGTTGTTCTCTCTCTGTCTGTCCCCATCTCTCCCCCTCCCCACCGCTCTCTGTGTGTGTAAGTGAGGGAAGTATGGCCCTGCCTACTTTTAATTCTGGCTTCTGGTTCCATCTTCCTTTTTAGTCCTTTATTATATAAGGATAAAAATATTGTCTTAATGTTTATCTTTGTCTAAAGGTCAGAGACATAGAAAAATCCAACTAAATTGTAATTAGTATTATATGACGTGTGCTTCATAAACTATTTTATATTTGCCCCAAGTCAGCCATTATTCAGCACATGTATAAATGATCAAAGTAACAGCAGGAGAAATTGTCTCTCTCAGTGGTGTGCTCTGACATAATTTAGTTACTGACTAGCTCCGAATAGGCAGTGCTAAATCATTTCAACAACTGATTAAATTTGGAGAATTTTGGTTTATATTCCCTATATGATCGATTAATATATTATCAAGAGAAGAAAGCAGATGGGGAGAAATGGTTCTCAACATATCCATCCTATTCCATAATAATTGCAGTTTTGATGGCTTTTCTGGAAAGAAATAGAACCTAAGTTCATGTTTATGAGAAAATTCCTAAAATAAATGTAGTAGATCCAAGTGACATCATAGGACATATCTGAAGGAAATTGAGCTTGTGACTGCTGTTCAATAAATATTAGCAAAATAAATATTTGTTCTAAAAATATGAGAGCAATGGAAAATAATAAATAATAAACAAAAGCAGTTAAAAAGAAAGATAAAACAAAAGAAAATGAAATTTAAATACTTTGTTGCAGAACCATGCTCTGTAGCTCTCTTTACATGCAAACCAGTGGTGAAATCCAAATTTTTTTACTACTGGTTCTGTAGGCATGGCTTGGTGGGCGTGGTGTGGCTTGGTGGGCATGGCTTCATGGGCGTGGCAGGGGAAGGATACTACAAAATCTTCATTCCCACCCCACTCAGGGGAAGGATATTGCAAAATCTCCTTTCCTGCCCCACTCGGGGGCCAGCAAGAGGTTCTCTGAACTACTCAAAATTTCCACTACCGGTTCTCCGAACTGCTCAAAATTTCCGCTACCGGTTTTCCAGAACCTGTCACGCTCACATTTTCAGCGAACTGGTGGTGAA